CGCTAGCTGATGATGGACACCACCCCCCCTCTAGCGAATGATGATGGATACCACCCCCCTCTCTAGCTGGTGATGATGGACCGCCCCCCGTTCTTCTGTAACAGACGCACGAGCCTACTGCAGGTACTTTTGTGCAACCACCACAAAAAACTATTCCACCTCCCGATCTAGTATAACAAGCCTTACACATGACACAAATACAATTTGGAGCCTTATCCACTCTAGTAAACAATACTTGTTTTTGAATTACTTTGAACGCTTTCTGAGCCTCTCGGGAGTCGATATGGCCCGTGTGCTGCAAATAGTCCGGGCCTTCTACGGCGAAGTCTAGTTGCTCAGCAATTTGGTCCAAAACTGTCGAAAACCATTCCTGAATTTCTGGAAATTTCGTCCCGACTTCGTGGTACAACTCAGTCACTAGACTAGCGCTGAAAATGCATGTTCTATGCTATCGACAAGTGTCAGATTGACTTCCTCCCCGTCCTCTGCAAAGAGCTGTGGGGCATACTCAAATCGAAAATCAGACTGCAAGTTCAAAACTGCTGCCGTATTCTCATTTTGCAAGCAAGTGTTATCCTTGGCGACCACTACGCGAGATCCATCCTTCATTTCAACCGCATACTTCTTCCAATGAACATCATTACAAATGCAAGAGCTTGTACGTGCAATCTCCCTTCCCACTCTAGTCGCAATAAGAAACAGACCATCCGTAGTCTCACCGTACTTGAATCCCGGTACGATCTGGGAGACAAGATTCCGAAAGTCACGAGCTTCCGGTGGAATAAGACTGAGGATGTTATCTCGCATGAGGATGTGGCGCAGTTGGACGACATCCGCAAGTGCACTAGTAAAACTAACAATGAGCAACTTGGATTTCTTTTTTTGTGGTTTTGAAGGGCTTGGGAACAATTCCAGGTAACTTGCGCTCAAACGTTTGAATGCCGAATACATTAGACCTTGTTCCGGGTGTTGTCCGAGGTATCTCAGCATGAGTACGATTGGGTTTGTTTTATGCATAGCCATGTACAGCAGCTGCAACAGGCGCGCGTTTCATCGTCCATTTTTGGTATTTTTGTCTCGTGTGGGCTTTCTCTCGGGCAGGCTGTTGGCTTTGTCCCGTCAGGACGTGCGAACAGGGTCTTGATCAGTGGTTTGGTCGCCGAAGTCCCCTCTTCGGTGTAACAGACGCCGCCACGCTCACACACGCACGCCCCCATCCATGCCCGTCCCATCCTTCACACCACTGCGCGCCGCATGTATGTGCCGACCTGTCCAATCGAATGAACGACACACCGCGCAGACGTCCGACGCGGCCTTCATCCCTGCAGGCTGGGACTCGAAGCGCTTGATCGACGGCCTCCTTTCTCCGGACAAGACCCCGTGGGGACCCAACGCAACATTCGCGGAGGTAGTGGTCCCTCCTCCCGGTGCCGGCGGCCGGGGGGCTGGCGGCAGCGGCATGGGGGGGTGGATGGACGGCGACCCCGGTGGGGACGGCGGCGGTCTTGCTGCCGGGGGGGGAGAGGCGGGGGGCGGCGGCGGCGAAGGGGGAGAGACCGTGGAGTCGGAGGAGGCTTGGTTGTCGAGCCTCGGGAAGCAGGTGGCCGGAACGGATAGCAAGTCGCGATGGCCCAGCGCGATAGCAGCGGCAGCCAAGCACGCCAAGGCGTCCAAGGTAAAGGACAGGGTGAGGAGGTGGGGTGGACGAGGCGCGTTGGGAGGGTGGACAGGCTGGTGTACTGGGCAGCTCGTGTCTACATACGCACGTGCGCACGGCTCTCGAGCGCTCCTGCCTTGTGCGCATTTCTTTTGTCATGTCGTTTAACGAGTAGATCCTCTGTCGACGTTCAGGCGTACATCGGTGTGTCGTGATGCTGCGCTGTTACTCGTAGCTCCGCAGCGCTCCAGCGCACCGTAGCGAGCGTCCGTGACGTAGACTGCTCCCTTGAACGAACAATTTCTCGCACCCCCTGTCCATTTCCGTGGTGTTGTCCCCATATGTTGTGGGAAACCCGATTCGTTCCATCCGTGGTGGTTTGTTTTTCCAGTCGCCCCGGAAAATACCGGCCAACGCGCCGGACCCACGGAGCTTCTTCGCCAACTTGCTGGCAACCGGGAGCGGGGCGGGGTCGCCACCGGTGAGTCCGCTTCTGTGTTCTGAGTGCGTGGTGCCTGCGTCAGGTCTGCACCGCGGCTGGTTGTGGGTGTTTGCTCGTGAATTGGTTCTTGTAGACAACTTTCCCTTCGTTTTGCGGGGAGGGGATTCGAGCAAGGGGTGTCCGTGGGGTGTCCGTGGCGACGACTTTCTCCCTCTCCCTCTCTCTCTCTCTCTCTCTCTTTCTCCCTCTCTCTCTCCCCTGCTGGGTGCCACAGACATGTAACTGTGCGTGGTCTAGTCCCACTGCGTGTCTGCAGCACACCCCCTCTCCGGCAGTACTTGCCAAACAACGTTGTTGTTGACCAAACTGGCGAGGCGCTGCACATGCAGATCGCGCACCGTCAGAGACTGCTATGTGCCGCTTGTTGTTGACGTCAGTGCGGAGGTTGCTCCTTGTGGACCCAACCAAATCGAAAACAAAATGCATATGAACGCTTGTCTACGTGTGCGCAACGTTTGCCTGGCCATTTTGTAGCGGTTCCACACGCACACGCTTGTAGAGACCTGAAGATTGACACCGCTTTTTTTGGGAGCATTGAGTTACGAGAAAAGTTGAAGTTTTTAGGCAACTCTTGGTCGGAAAATTTTGTCAACAACACTTTAATTGCACGCTCACTATGGGGCGAAGGAAGGTTCTGACTGGTGGAAAGCGGAGGCGATACCATTTTTGGGGTACAGTCGACCCCGCTTTTAAGGACGCTCGCGTTAAGGAAACTCCCCGCTTCAAGAAAACCGTTTTCTGAGCACCAGGGGGCCCGGCGGAATGTACGATAATGGGGTACCCCCTTTTTCTGCCGCGTACCCCCTTTGTTGTTTCCTGCGGGCCGCTCTTTGCACGCACCACGCACCACAGTGAGTGCAGAAGTATCGACGCACAGACAGCAGAGGTAGCGAGCGGTCTGCTGCTGCGGCTGTAACAGGGTGTTGGTATGGATAGATTCCTCCCATCTACCGGCGGTCCATCTAGTGCCGCCAAAAAAGCATGTGGAGAACCAACGTGTGCGATGAGGTCTCTACTGATCACCGCAGTCCACCAGTGCCCACGCGGGCGGCCGATGCATGGCTTCTGTGGCCGAGGAATCGGTCAGGAAGGCTTCGGGCAGCAGAGAGAGTGCACAGATTGTCAGAGGAGAACGACTACAGGCAAGATCGGCACCGGCACAAGTCCCATGGAGGTGGATAGCAGTAGCGACAACGAAGACAACAGCAGCAGGTGATGATTGTGATTTACAGCAGTCAGCAGCAGAGCAGCAGCAGCCATCGGCCGAACGCGTGATGTTGAGGTGTTGAGCAGAAAACCGTGCACCACGATGTCACATGTACATTGCATGTCTTTGCCTTGGTCTGATTCTTGTCAAACAACAGCAGTGTCAGCATGCCAGGAAAAAGCACTGAGATTGTCCGCACAAGGCTGCGTGTGTCTGTTTGTTCTTTTTTTTTGTCATGACAGAAGATCGTCAATATGTGTCGGTGTGTGTGCAAGTGTAGTTAGCGTCAAAAGCCATGTGAAGACTCTCGCTGCTGCAGTGCATCTTTTGGCACGCAACCTGCGCCTGAAGCAGTTCGCGTGCCGCGCTGCCGAAGTGATTCTCGTTGTTCAACGCTGATAAAAGGTGAATTTTTGCACGTTTAGAGGACTCTGGTGTTTACGGTTCGCACTTGAGAAACATACAATATAGATGCAGTCGTAATATTCTTTTTGTCTTATTTGTCTTCAGCGTAAAGTGTAGCTGCTGGCCTGCGTGCAGTCTCTCGGCGGTAGGTGCGAGAATTCTCGTTCTCCGGAAGATAAGCGCATGCTGTGTTGGGCACAACGGCATTTTTTCTCACGTGGGTGTATTTGCCAACAACCTGCCCTGACATGTCACAATTCCCTCGTCTCTTGCAAAATATGTCGCGCAGGACGAGGCAACCGGCTGGGGTCAAAGAGTTAGAGACTGCAAGGAAGGGGAAACGGCCTCAACGCACCGCGGGGGGGGGCGGCGCAGGTGCCGCGGGGCTGGACGGCGGACACGCCGCAGGGGGGGGCGGCGGAGGTGCCGCAGGGGACGGCACAGGTAGTGTCGCCAAAAAAGTCCGGGTGTCCAAGCCCGGACGGGAAACCGGCAAAAACAAGTTATCAATGACAGCGATTGCAGATTGTCAAGGAGGTCCAGGGGGGGGCTACGCGGAGCATGGTTGCTGCAAAGTGAAACGTTGGTACTTCGCACAACAGCAAGTTGATTGAACCCAGAGAAAATCGCTGAGCTTGAGAAAGTCCGCGACATGGAGCTCAACCAGGACGCTCCTCGCACCCCGAAGCCGGTACACGACGAATTGGAAGAAAAACTGCGCAAGTGGATCAAGATCGCACGAGCACGCTTTAACGTAAGTACATATTTTGCGTTAATCATGTGTTGGTCAGAATACAACTTAGTTGTCTATACGCCTACACCCCTGCGCCCCTACACCTCCTCCCGCTCTCGACCAAGCTGCTGGGTTGGGGGTTCGACAAGCTCTAGTCCACCTGTTTCAAGCTGGCCGACTGAACGCACAACCAATTCAAGGGAGAGTTGATCGAAACCATGTCGCTGCTGTTTTTTTTTTTTATGTCTTTCCCGACGCAGGCAACCAAGATTGGCGTGAGGGGTTGATGATCCAGGCCCAGGCCTTGAAGATCGCGGCGCAGATGGGGAAGACCAACTTCAAGGTGACCAACGACTGGCTACATCGCTTCCTGAAACGCTACAGCTTCACTCACGTCTAATTGCGCGGAGAAGCTGGCGACGTGGACAAACAGAAGGTGGCAGAGGAGATCGAGAGGATTCGTGAGCAGCTGCAGGAGTTCGACGTCGAGTTCATTTTTAACATGGACGAGACGGGACTCTTCTTCCGCTGCTTCCCGAGAGGTACATCGGTCACGAGGGGGGAGGCCGCCGCCGGCGAAAACAGCAAAACCGCGCGGGGTTCGAAGGCCATGAAGGCCAAGGATTGGTGCACGGTGGTCGCCTGCTGCAATACGACCGGGTCTCCGATGGTGCCGTTGGCCGTCATAAGCACGTCGAAAAAAACGACGTCCGCAAACCGCCATGTCCCTACTTCGCCCAGGAGAGTGCCTGGCTCGACGCAGCCATTTGCCAGCGGTGGTTTGACGAAGTCTTTGTCCCCTTCGTCAAAGGCAAGACCTCCAAGAAGGTGGCCCACTTGTGGGACAATTGCCCCGGCCACAAGATCAACAGCAACAACCCGCAGATCGTCATCATCTTCTTGCCTCCGAAGGTCACTTCTGTCTACCAGCCCATGGACATGGGCATCCTGTTTGTACTCAAGTGCCAGTACAAGACCGAAATGGTGGCTATGCTGGCAGACCTCATTGAGGACTGGGACAACGTCCGTGCACGAAAAATCCAAAGGTGAAATCAAAACACCAATGTAGGAGCGCTCTTTGTTGCCGTCGTCGCAGGTCTTGCGAAGGCTCTGAAAATGTCGAGCTGGTTTTTACATTAGCCCTTTCATCCGTCCCTGTGTTTCGTTTCGGCAGAGGGTGCCGGGGCCTCAGCGATGCAGGACAGGCGACAATGCTGGACGTCACGGAGATCTTTTCCCAGAAGTGGCGTAGCTTCAACGTTCAGACGGTCATCAGGAGCTGGCTCAAGGCTGGCATCCTTCCCAGAGACGACTGCAACGTTCTCAAGGGCATGGACACGCGGCTTGACCGAGAGGACAAGGACGACGCGGCAATCATCGACGGCCTTTGTGACATGGTCTCAAAAATGTCAATGCCAGCTAGCGTAACGGGCTGTAGGTCCATGCCGCGAGTGTTTAGGGACAATTTGTTTGTCGAGAAGGTCACAGACCTCACAGAGCAGGAAGTCCGAACGGCGGTCAAGACGTGGCTTACGGTGGAGGACGACCCCGACGTGTCAGAAGAGGAGGTGGAGTTGGAACTGCAGGCAGTAGAGAGGGATCTCGCGGGCTTAGAAATGGACGACGACGTATCGAGCAAAGAGGGCGACGGCGACGGCAGGCCGGAGTCGTGCATAACCTCGTCCCTCCCCGAGGGCGAGGTTATCTCTCGCTTGGAGGACGTTCGATCCTATTTGCACGCGAAGGGAAGGGGTGGCGAGTACCGTGAGGAGACGCAGTACCTTCTTTCGAAGACCCTTGATTGGTTTACTCATGAAACTCAACAGAGCCGTAGAGCCAAGCCGCGGGGAAGTTCAGGGAACTCTCCGCGATATGTGGAGGGAAAAGCCGTCAGGGTAGTTTGGTCTCCGCCGGGACAGTTATATGTACTGGTGTTCCTCGGTGCGACGCTGAAATACTCTCGTTTTTTTTGTGTTTCACGAGAATGAGATATAGATATTTCTACTTGGAATTTCCTCCTTCTTCCGCTGCCGGCGAAGCAGTACATTAGTCGGCCAAGTTCAAATTTGTGTACTGTGTGTAGTTGTGTTCAACACGTCGCCGTCTGCTGTACAACTCATTTAAGTGTTATAAATATGTTCGACGTCAACAAACGGTTGCCATTCGTCTCGGCGATGCTGACTTTTCGTACCACACCCTTCCTTATCAAAAGACGCTTAGTTTGAGGTATAGCATGCCTCCGTTGACCCCGGGGATGGTGAGCTATCGTCCCCTGAATTTTAGGTACGCAACCCCGCTTTATGGACGCTTTTTTTCCGGAAAAACCATGTGTGTCCTCAAAGCGGGGTGGACTGAATTGATGATGGGCGAGAAGCAGACACACCCCTTCAAGCCGCACGGTGAAACCGGCCAGAGTGTGCAATGACAGCTTGGAAAACGAGTTAAACCTGGCGTTGTGCCTTCCAATTAAAGCCAGGAGGACCTTTATCATGCTCAAATCCAACGCAAATTTGTTGCCTTACTCTACCAATTCGTATATTCTACACGGCTGCGGCCATCGCAGGCAGTTTCAACTCGTCGTTCAAGTATTCTGAGTTGCTAATCATCTATCGGGTTGACCGTGTGTGTGCGTGTGGCGGGAGAGGGCCTACGTGTGTTGTAGGGGAAGGTGCTTGACGTTGATTGGCGGAAGTCTCTCCGCGAAACTGTTGTTCGACACCATTGTAAATTAGCGAGAAAATGTTGCAACCTGTTTGCTCCAGATCGCGCGATCATTGTCAAAAGCAAAAGTTTCCACACTTTTGGCGCAACTTTTGCTCCCATGACTTACGGACATGAGAAAGTTGCGAGAATACCAGCCCTGTCCCTCCTTGTTGTCCCCCGACCAACCAGCCTCCTAGCTATCCCCGCCCGTTTCGACTCCATCGTTCAACTCGAACCGATGCCGTTGTTTTGTCGCCCTCAGGGTCCACAGAGGAAGAAGTCCTGACCCCCGAGCCGTGCGAGCTGCGCTGCTCTTCTCGGGTTGGCTGCTTGGTGCGGGAAGCGAGGTCGCCTGCTCCTTGCTCTTTGGGCTGGCGAGCGCGCAGCTGTTGGTTCGCGTTTAACCTTCGCATACACATTGTTCGCTGCTATCGTTGTCTGCTGAACGGTTTTCTCCATCGAACTTTTTTCTCGTCTTGCAAGAAAACAACGCATTGGCTTGTTGAGTGTAGCACGAAAAGACGGGGGAGACACCCTACGCTCTGCCTTCTTTTTTTTTTGCGTGAGGAAAGCCTATGCTAGGTACGCTAGATGACCGTTTGCTTTTTTGGTGGCGAGCGGCGGATTTATCATTTCCCTGTTTTACGCAGTTTGGTAGTATGAAGAATCGAAGGTGTGGGATGAGGTGGAATGCCGGCGGAGGTATCCATTGCGGAAATTAACGAACCGGCGGGCAACGCCATTCTGTAGTTCAACACCCCGCGATGTAAACGCGGCATGGTTTCAACAATTCAACATAATTATAAAATCGGCATTGCCGGATTTTTTTTTTTTTTCGTATGCTGCCCTTGCGAGGGGATTCTGCGCGCACACATCAGCGTTGCTACTGCCTTCACCCGCCCTACCATGATTGAAAACCGAACAATGTTGTGCTTGTCGTTCCGTGTGCTGCTGTTTGCTGAACTGACGTGAATCGCCATAGATTACCTAACCATTGTAATTACACAGTCTGGGATCCGTCACGAAAGAAAAAACATACCGTCGGTACAAAAGTGTACCTGGGCTACACGGGAGCTACTCCACATTTTGAAGGGCCTGGCCTTCTGGACACTTGGCCATTTTGTACATTCTACACATGTTATGCTGCACCGTAGCTTATCTCGTCCACAACGACTGTTGAACTGCAGTGCTTCCCCAAGAGGGTGCTGCTCCTGGTCCGCGATTTAAGGGCGCCCGTTAGGCGGTTTCAGCCGCGCACTGCCTTCCCGAAGCGTACGTATTCAGTCTTCCTGGAGACGAACTTATCGATACACCAAACGGCACGTGAGCGTGGCAAATCTTACAGCTTTGAACCGATGTGCGCGGCTACATTGACCTCTACGCACCTCACTGCTCGTGACATCCTGGAAATGCTTCCCGTCGCCACTAAACCAGCGTTAAAAGTTAAAAGCCAGAGGATTTTGAGGATAAACCGCCCACCAAACCGAGCCGCAGGCGTACGCCGGCCGCACCCATCGTCTTGATGGCATCCACCGCAGCGCAGACGGATCACACCATCTACCACCGTCCGTAAATACCAGCAAACATCTTCGAGCGGCGCGCCATGTCAGCGAACGGCCTCCGTTAGCGCGTTCCAGACTACCTCCGTCTCCATCCGGCTCGACTTGAGCCTCGAGTCTCTCCTCCCCACGGCCCTCCTCGCCGCCCCCATCAGCCGGTGCAGCTGCCGCACCGCCTCCTCCTTCTCCCTCGCCGCCGCCTCCCGCCTCAACCGCTCCTGCTGCGCCGCCACCCTCGCGAGCTTCGCCTCCGACCTCGCCCGCTCCAGTTGGGCCTCGAGCTCCCCCTCCGCCCCCGGCCCGACGTCGGTGGCATCGGCTGCAGCCCCGGCCGCGGCGGCCGCCAGGAGCTCCGCCAGGGTTTCCGCTGGCGAGGAGGCCGCCAGGCCGCGCCTCCCGCCAAGGCGAGTGGCCCCGAGGAGGAGGTTGTCCCGCTGCTCGGTGAGCCGCCGGAGCTCTTCGCGGTGGCCGAGGGAGTCCGCATCGGCGCGGTCCCTCGCCCGCTCCGCCTCACCGACCCTGGCTCGGAGGGCGGCGTTCTCCTTCGCCATGGACCGCATCTTCTTCTCAACCTGAGCACGGGGGGGGGGGGGGG